GTGTTTTGGACTCCAACTCCCACAATTTCCAACAGCTGGTAGGGCTGAAGTTTGCCCATGTCTGTACTATTTATGTGTTTATTTCTTTACTGCATTTCTATGCCACCTTTCTCAGCCCGAAGGGCTCTAGACTGAGGAAATTAGTAATATCACAGCCAGGATCCCTCCAGCTATTTCCCAAGCCAGATAACCCATGCCTGCCTTAAGCGGCTGAAGGGAAAAAGGAAAGGGCTTGAAGCTGTTAGGAATTGTGGGATTTGGAGTCCAAAACACCTGGAGGGCTGAAGATTGCCCATGTCTGTCCTATTTATTTATTTACTACATTTCTTTGTCACCTTTCTCAGCCTGAAGGCGACTCTAGACTGAGGAAAGTAGTAATATCACTGCCAGGATCCCTCCAGCTATTTCCCAAGCCAGATACGCCCATGCCTGCCTTAAGCGGCTGATGGGAAAAAGGAAAGGGCCTGAAGCTGTTAGGAATTGTGGGAACTGGAGTCCAAAACACCTGGAGCGCTGAAGTTTGCCCATGTCTGTCCTATTCATTTATTTATTTACTGAATTTCTATGCTACCTTTCTCAGCCCGAAGGCGACTCTAGACTGAGGAAAGTAGTAAAATTACTGCCAGGATCCCTCCAGCTATTTCCCAAGCCAGATAAACCCATGCCTGCCTTAAGCGGCTGAAGAGAAAAAGGAAAGGGCCTGAAGCTGTTAGGAATTGTGGGAATTGGAGTCCAAAACACCCAGAAGGCCTAAGTTTGCCCATGCCTGATCTACACTGTAGAGTTAATGCAGTTTGCCATGGCTGAATGCTATAGAATCCTGGGATTTACAGTTTGGTGGAGCACTGAGCCATTGCACTTGAAGCGGTGTCAAACTGCATTAATTCTACACTCTTGAGAATGTGACCTTTAGGAGGCGTTTCCAAGGTGGGGGATCCCCAACTGGCACCAAATGCTTGCCAAGTTTCTAGACCTCAATGAGTTCCTCTGCAAGTTTAAAAAAGCTCCGGGTACATGATGCGCTCCTAAAAGTGTGCAGAAGGGAAAGTGCTCTGTTGCTACCAATGGCTAAAAGGTTCTGCAAACTGGATGCCGCATCTCTATATCTGACGATTCCAATGCTCACAGTCTGATAACGATTCCCAAGAAATTAAGCGTATGGCTTGGTGTAATGTGCCTTGAAATGGATGCACAAAAGCACATTGCAAGCACCAGAATCGGTGCATGGGTATCAAACCCACTTCCTCCACACTGTGCCAAATATTCCAAAACTACCATTCCCAACCACTGGTTATGTTGCTCAAGGGCAATGGGAATGAAAGCCCAAAGCATCTGAACCACATAGATGGCAGTGTTGTGCTATCAAAAAGTATAAACAGGTTGAGTCTCCATTATCCAAAACGACTGGGTCCAGAAGTGTTTAGGATTTCGGGTTTTATCAGATCCTGGAACACTTCTATTTGCATATATGTACACAATGAGAGGTATTGGAGATGGGCCCGAAGTCTAAAAAAACACAAAATTCATTTATGTTTCACGTACACCTATCCTGAAGGTAATACTATACAACTGGGTTGCTGTGAGTTTTCTGGGCATGAAACTCATTTTGTGCTCATTGGTACTATCAGAAACCAAAGCGCCACTCTCTCCAGCCACAATTTCAGACTTTTGGAGTATCTCAGATTTCGGAATTCCGCACAAGGGACACTCCACCTGCCTTGCATATAATTTACATTTTTCCCCTGATCATTTTTGAAAGGCTTGCTTTTCCATGGCTTCAACCAGAGGTTCTTTTGGACCACTAGCTCCAGACTCCTCTAGCCAGAAAGAAGGCCAGCTTTGTTTTTTTTGGAAGGGGAGATGTAGTCCAGGAACCTTTCCAACTTCTAGCTTCAGCATTTCTTGGAAATTTGATATCCCAGAGATCCAAATCCGCTCCCTGAGGGCTCTGGAGCCTTTTGTTACAAAACCACAAAACATAATGTAAGGAAAACAGCCTGGCGTGCATTGCAAAAAGACAAGCGATTCCAAGGCTTGGACTAGGAAGGGAGGGAGGGAGGGAGGGAGGGAGGGAGGGAGGGAGGGAGGGAGGGAAGGAAGGAAGGAAGGAAGGAAGGAAGGAAGGAAGGAGGAAGGAAAAGGGAGGGAAAGAAGGGGGGGAGAAGGAGAAAGGGGAAGGAAAGAAGGAAGGGGGAAGAAGGAATTGATGCATGGATGGATGGAAGGAAGGGAAGAGAAGGAAAGAAGGGAAAGAGAAGGAAAGATAGGGGAGAGGCATGGATGGATGGAGGATGAATGGAAAGAAGGAAGGAAGGAAGGAAGGAAAGGGAGGAAGGAAGGAAGGAAAAATAAGGAAAGAAGGAAGGAAGGAAAGGAAGGGAAGGAAGGAGGATGAATGGAAAGAAGGGAAGAAAGGAAGGAAGGAAGGAAGAGAAGAGAAAATAAAGGAAAGAAGGGGGAGAGGCATGGATGGAGGATTAATGGAAAGAAGGATGGACGGACGGAAGGGAAAATAAAGGAAAGACGGGGGAGAGGCATGGATGGATGGAAGGAAGGAAGGAGGGAGAGAATAGAATTGAAAGATAAAGGAAAGAAGGGGAGATACATGGATGGATAGATGAAGGGAAGAGAAAGAGGGAGTGATCAAGGAAGGGTGAAAGATATGAATAGAAGGAAGGGGAAAACAAAAGGATGGAAAAACATGGATGGAGAAGAAGGAAAGAAGGAAAAAGGAAAGGAAAGATAAAGGAAAGAAGGGGAGAGGCATGGATAGATGGATGGAAGGAAAGGAAGGGAAAGATTAAGTAAACAAGGGGAAGAGACATGGATGAATGGAAGGCAGGAAGGAAAGAAGGAAGGGAAAAGAAGGGGAAGTTTAAGAAAAGAAAGGTGAGATGCATGTATGAATGAAGGGAAGGGAAAGAGGGATTGCTGAAGGAAGAGAAAAAGGAATGAATAGATGGAAGGGGGAAAGACATGGAAAGGAAGGGAACTGACATAAGGAAGAGGATATGAATAGATAGATAGATAGATAGATAGATAGATAGGAAGGAGGAATTAAGGAAAGAAGGGGAAAGACATGGATGGAAAGAAGAGGGAAAGGGATGGATAGATGGATAAAAAGAAGGGAGGGAATGGAAAGAAGGGGGAGAGGCATGGATAGATGGAAAGATGAATGAATAGATGAATGGAAGGAAAGGGAGAGATTAAGTAAACAAGGGGAAGAGGCATGGGTGAATGGATGAACAGAAGGAAGGAAAGAAGGAAGGAAGGAAAGAGAAGGGAAAGATTAAGGAAAGAATGGTGAGAGGCATGTATGAATTAAGGGGAGGGAGGGAGAAAATGATGAAGGAAGAGGGGAAGATATGAATAGAAGGAAGGGGGAAATACACGGATGGAAGGAAAGGGAGGGAGGGAATGGACATAAGAAAGAGGATATGGATGGATAGAGAGATGGAATGGAAGGAGGGATTAAAGAAAGAAGGGGAAGACATGGATGGAAAGAAGAGGGAAAGGGATGGATGGATGGAAGGAAGGAAAGGGCAAGAGAGTGAGGGAGGGGGAAAGCAAGAAGATAAAGAAAAGAAGGTAAAGAAGAAAAGGAAGGAAGAAGGGGGAAAGATGATAAAGGAGGGAGGGAGGGAAGAAAGGAGATTACAATGGCTTTTCTGTGATGGCTTACAGATTTTCATGGCTCATAATCACAGAACCCTTGAAATACATCCCCAAAAGCCAGGTGCAACTAAACACAGAGGACATGAAGACTCCTTTCCAACAATATATTCCATGCTTTACATTTTGGGGGGAAAAATCATTCAAAAAGGTGGTTCTCAAACCCATCCCTTCAGTGTTTTGGACTTCAGCTCTCCAAATCCTAGGCATTGACCAGATGGACAAGTGCTTCCTGCGGCTGAAGTCCAAAACATGCAGTTTGGAGAACCACAGCTCTGCGCATGCTAAATTCACATTTAGGAAAGACTTCTGCCATTGGAAGCCAGGAGCAATGCATCTCCAAGCTGCAAAAATCCCAATATACTGCTTAATTTTTGAATCCGTGTTTCAAATGAATCCAAGCATTGCGTTTTGTCCTGCTCCCTAAACAGCATCACCCAAAAAGACCCAACGTAATAATTTTCGCCTTCCTTCCCCTTTTCAAACTGCAAAAAAGAGCATTAAAAAAGCCTCCATTCATCTGATTGTAATCTAATGCAATGATTGTTTCTTCCGACAGCATCTGGTTCACATTTTTGGTGGGGTTTCTATACGTACACGTATCAAAAATAGTGCTCACCTGAGGGTACAAACAACCATCGCATGTCACTCACGGAATAACCTACAGCCTCCGCAGAGAGTTTTGCACAAAAACCATTAAAATGCCATGATTCCACTGCCATTGCATGGGATTTGTAGTTTGGTGAGAGACGCTAGAGCTTTAAATACAGCAGAAGTGGAATCATTGCGCTCTAACAGTGTTACGGTCTGCCCTCTGCATTCGCTGGGGTTCGGAGCCCCACAAAAGCATCAAAATCACAAATACTTCTCTAGGAATCTCTATGTCCACCCGTTCGAACTTCTGCCTGGAAAATCAATGATTTTCCCAGGAATTAAGTGATAGTATTTCCAAGGAAGGAATAGTGTGTTGGTTAAAATTGGTTGTAAAAACATTCAGGGAAAAGGACCAGGAAAATGGGTGCATCCACATTGTAGAACTGATGCAGAGTGACACCGCTTTAACTGCAATGGCTACATGGGAGTTGTAGTTTTACAAGGTATTTAACCCACTCTGGGTAACAATGCTGATACAAACTACAATCCATAGAATTCCACAGCACAGAGCAACTGCAGTTAAAGGGGTGTCAAACTGTGTTAAATTGACAGTGTAGATGCCCCCTCTGCAGACGCATCTGATTCCCCCCCCCCAACGCAGTGTTTTTCAACCTTCCTAATGAAGTAATGACCCCTTAATACACTTCCTCATGTTGTGGTGACCCCCAACCATAACATTATTTTCGTTGCTACTTCATAACACACAAATTTGAATACTGGAGGGGTTGGGGTTGATTTTGTCATTTGGGGGTTGTAATTGCTGGGATTTATAGTTCACTTCCAATCAAAGGCCATTCTGAACTCCACCAACAATGGAATGACACCCCAACCATAACACTATTTTCGTTGCTACTTCATAACTATAATTTTGGTACTGTTATGGAACATAATGTAAATATCTCATATGCAGGATGTATTTTCATTCACTGGACCAATTTTGGCACAAATACCCAATACAGCCAAATTTGAATATTGGGGAGGTGGGGGATTAATTTTGTCATTTGGGAGTTGTAGCTGTTGGAATTTATAGTTCACCTACAATCAAAGAGCATTCTGAACTCAACCAACAATGGAACTGAACCAAACTTGGCACACAGAACTCCCAAGACCAACAGAAAATACTGGAAGGGTTTGGTGGGCATTGCCTTGTGTTTGGGAGTTGTAGTTCACTTACATCAAGAGAGCCCTGTGGACTCAAACAATGATAGATCTAGACCAAACTTGGCACAAATACTCAATATGCCCAAATGTGAACACCGGTGGAGTTTGGGGAAAATAGACCTTCACATTTGGTAGTTGTAGTTGCTGGGATTTATAGTTCACCTACAATCAAAGAGCATTCTGAATCTCACCAATGATAAAATTTGGCCAAACTTTCCAGAGAACTCCCATGACCAACAAAAAATACGGTGTTTTCTGATGGTCTTTGGTGACCCCTTTGACACCCCCTCATTAACCCCCCAGGGGTCCCGACCCCAAGGTTGAGAAATACTGCCCTAAAGCATCCGGATCAAGTTGTGGCCCCTCTAACAGCCCCTCATGACCCCCCCCCAGGGGTCCCGACCCCAAAGTTGGGAAATGCTGCCCTAAAGCATCCGGATCAAGTTGTGGCCCCTCTAACAGCCCCTCATGACCCCCCCAGGGGTCCTGAACCCAAGGTTGAGAAATGTTGCCCTAAAGCATCCGGTGATGGCTTGCAGAATGTTGCCTTGCTGATATTGTTTAAGAATATATGCTCCCGAAGCACCATATACTTCACTAGGTAGACTTAAGGATATGTTTGCGATCATAACAACACAACTGAAAGGAGTGGAAGATACAAAAAGGTCCATAGAGATCCCTAGAGATTTATTTTCCCTCTAGGAAATCTCTAGGCCCTCCAGCACAATTCTACGGAGGACTTAAAAGATTCCTAGAGGGACCATATCAAAATCAAATCTGCAAAAGTTACAATCAGCAAATGCAGAGAGCCGACTGCAGCGTGAAAAGTCCCTGGGAGCAAGTCAATGACTCCAAACCCCCAAATAGCTGACCCATCTGTTTCCTTCCCCTTTGTGCCCAAATGGTTCCTTATTTTTTAATCGCCAAGCAATTGCAAGAAAGCCGGAAATGCTCCTATGCTCCATACTACAAGCACCGATCCAAACTCATCCGCACTGAGCAAGGGAAGAGCCTCAAAGTTCTTTGGTCCCTGGACCGACCGTGAGAGAGAAGTCCATAATGTCCTCCGACCACTTCCTTTGTCTTCTCTTTGTGCTCCTTTGCCCCACTTATTTACAAAAGAAAGACCGGGAGGCTTCGTGTACATGTGTGTGTGTGTTCTCTGTGTGTGTGCATTTTGTATAAAACAAGGAAAATGTGTAAAAAAAAAAAGAGAGAGGGAAAATATTCCCACGAAACAAGGAACATTAGAAAACCTGGCAGGTGAAGACTGTACAGACCTCGGGACCACGCAAGGTATGGCTTCCAAGGCGGGCCGCATGGAAGAAGTCCGGCCATGCGCTCTTGAACGATGGCGCGAAAGAGCTCTCTCTCTGGCTTTCCCGCTGTGTATTTGGGTGCATATATATATACATGAAAATGCGCTCTGCGCATGCTCGCCGGTGCGCTCAGTCCAAAAACCGCTGGCAGGCTTTCTTCCACCGGCAGGCGGTGCACCATTGGTCCCGGTGCTCGATGCCGTAAACCTTGCGGCACTTCTTGGCTTCACCACGGACTTTCCTGCAGAAGAGAAAAGAGAGCCGAGATGCATTCATGTGTGAATTACTACTACTACTACTACTACTAATACTATTATTGAACCTGACTCAGCACAGAGAAGATGGCTTTGAAAGGCAGCAGATCACAGGAGCTGTCTTCATAGACCTGTCAGCAGCTTATGATACTGTGAACCACCGCCTCCTCCTGAGAAAAATGTATAATATCACAAAGGACGACCACCTCACCCGCCTCATAGGAAACCTGCTACAAAACAGGAGCTTCTTTGTTGAGTTCCAGGGCCAGAGAAGCAGAGGGCGGAAACAGAAGAACGGCCTGCCTCAGGGGAGCGTGCTTGCTCCATCCATGTTCAACATCTACACAAATGACCAGCCACTGCCAGAAGGGACAGAGAGTTTCATCTATGCTGATGATCGTGCCATCACCACTCAAGCAGGGAGCTTTGAGATGGTAGAACAGAAGCTCTCCGAAGCTCTAGGTGCTCTTACTGCCTATTACAGGGAAAACCAGCTGATCCCTAATCCATCTAAAACACAGACATGTGCCTTTCACCTTAAGAACAGACAAGCCTCGAGCCCTAATCCATCTAAAACACAGACATGTGCCTTTCACCTTAAGAACAGACAAGCATCCCGAGCTCTGAGGATCACCTGGGAAGGAATCCCACTGGAGCATTGCAGCGCACTCAAATACCTGGGAGTCACTCTGGACCGTGCTCTGACCTACAAGAAGCACTGCCTGAACATCAAGCAAAAAGTGGGTGCTAGAAACAATATCATACGAAAGCTGACTGGCACAACCTGGGGATCACAACCAGATACAGTGAAGACACCTGCCCTTGCGCTATGCTACTCTGCTGCTGAGTATGCATGCCCAGTGTGGAACACATCTCACCACACTAAAACAGGGGATGTGGCTCCTATACTTTGTTATGCTTTATAATTTTATTCTTTGTAATTGGCCCAGCCCGCTATGCTCATTTTACTATTTAATTTTCATTTCCTGTGTTTGACTTTGTATTAGTTTCTTGTTTATTTTAACTTGATGTTATTATTTGCTGTATGTATTTGATTTTGATTTGTTGTTAAATGTTAGCCGTCCCTCAGGGGAGATGGTGGCGGGGTATAAATAAAGTTTTATTACTATTATTGTTATTTATTAATGAGACATGCCACATTATCACAGGATTGTTGTAGGTTTTTTCGGGCTATATGGCCATGGTCTAGAGGCATTCTCTCCTGACGTTTCGCCTGCATCTATGGCAAGCATCCTCAGAGGTAGTGAGGTCTGTTGGAACTAGGAAAAATGGTTTATATATCTGTGGAATGACCAGGGTGGGACAAAGGACTCTTGTCTGCTGGAGCTAGGTGTGAATGTTTCAACTGACCACCTTGATTAGCATATAATGGCCTGACAGTGCCTGGAGCAAACTTTTGTTGAGAGGTGATTAGATGTCCTTGTTTGTTTCCTCTCTGTTGTTGCTGTTGTAATTTTAGAGTTTTTTTAAATACTGGTAGCCAGATTTTGTTCATTTTCATGGTTTCCTCCTTTCTGTTGAAATTGTCCACATGCTTGTGGATTTCAATGGCTTCTCTGTGTAGTCTGACATGGTGGTTGTGAGAGTGGTCCAGCATTTCTGTGGAATATACAATAACCCTGGTTCCAGAGAGGGGTGACTAAAATGAAAACCGGTCAGGCATTTGTCGGCGCAGATGTTTTCCAGCTAATGCCCGTCTTCTATTGCTTCTTACCTGGTTCCGCTGGGGGCCCGAGGGGGAGACGCGACGATCAGGTGGGATTTCGGCACCGGAGGGGGCAAAGGTGGGGTCGGCTGCGGCTCGCTGAAACTCAAGGACCGGCTTCGGACCTGCAAAGCACAACCAAGGGTTTGTTTGGGTTTTAATCACCATTTCCTTAGCCTGTGTGCCTCTTAAGTGTTTGTTTTCTTCGATTTTATTCCACAGAGGTAACTAAGTTGAGCAGGGGTTATTCTGGATTAGTTTTAGATTATTGTTGTATGTCAGCCTGCTCATCCTGTGATTGTGCCTGATGTTCATGTTGGGAATAGGGATGATGTTCCTGATGGTGGGCCTGGGTCTGTTGGAAATGGGGATGAGGGATTGCCTGGGCCTGTTAACCTTAGACGAGAGGCCCGAGCTGTCTCTGGAACTAGGTTCTTGTGGGTTTTTTCGGGCTATATGGCCATGTTCTAGAGGCATTCTCTCCTGACGTTTCGCCTGCATCTATGGCAAACATCCTCAGAGGTAGTGAGGACCTCACTACTCTGAGGATGCTTGCCATAGATGCAGGCGAAACGTCAGGAGAAATGCCTCTAGAACATGGCCATATAGCCCGAAAAAAACCCCACAAGAACCTAGTGATTCCAGCCATGAAAGCCTTCGACAATACATTGTCTCTGGAACATTGACAAGGCCACATTCCTGGGAGAGGCCCTTTGCAGTCTTTCTCAGAGCAACTGTCTGAAGATGATTTGTCAGGTGCAGAAGTTAATGAGAGTCAAGATAATGAGAGTGTAGATAGAAAGTAAGGCTTTTGTAAACAGCAACAGAGTGCTCAGGTGCAATGATCAGTTCATTTACAGGAAAAGAGATAAGGAACCTGTATCTGGTGGTAAGGTGACCAGGGAAAAATGAAGGGTGGTAAGGTCACCAGGAGAAAGGGAAGGGACCTGAGGCCAGGAATTATGGGAGTTGAAGTTCAAAACACCTGGAGGGCCTAAATTTGCCCATGCCTTTGTTATACTCGCCACAGTGATTAGGGATGGAAGTCAAGGTGCGGGATGCACAAGCATGTGGGATAAGAGTTAACTTTGTGTAAGATATTGACAAGAAGGATGTCGTATATGTTGTAGCGTAAGGGTGTCAAGTGTTTAATGTTATGTATACTGTGTGTATCTATCATGTTTGTAAATTTTAATAAAAAGAGTATTTTTTAAAGTAAGAAAAGGAGAAGGAAAAAGAGGATGAAGGAAAAGAAAAGGAGGCAGAAGAGGGGTGGGAAAAGAGCAGAAGAGGAATGGGGAGAAGATAAAAAGGAAAAAGTAGGAATCAGGAAAGGAGGAGAGGAGGAAGAATTGCAGTAGAAAAAAAGGAAGAACAAAGAGAAGGAAGGGGGGCAGGAGGAAAAGGAGAAGAAAAGGAAGAGGAAAATAGATGGATGAGAAAAGAATGAAATGAGGAAGGAGGTGCTCTATAAAAAGAAGAAGGGGAGAACAAGAGAGAAGATGGAGAAAAAACAGGAAGGAGAAAAGGAAGGAAAGGAGGAGGAGGAAGGAGGAGGTGATGGAAAGACAAAGAGGAGGAAGCAAGGAAGAAAAAAGAAAGTAGAGCAGGAGTTCAAGAAGAAAAAAGAGGAAGGAATAACAGAAGATAAGGCAAGCTGGAAGAAGGAGAAGGAGAAGAGATGAGGAAGGAGAACAAGGAGGCAAAGAATAAGGGGAAGGGGAAGAAGAGAAGGGAGGAGGAGGAGGAGAAGAAGAGATGAGGAAGAAGGAGAACAAGGAGGCAAAGAATAAGGGGAAGGGGAAGAAGAGAAGGGAGGAGGAGGAGGAGGAGGAGGAGGAGGAGGAGGAGAGGAGGAGGAAGGAGGAGGAGGAGGAGGAGAGGAAGAAGAAGGAGGAGAGGAAGAGGAAGGAGGAGGAGGAGAGATGAGGAAGAAGGAGAACAAGAAGGAGGCAAAGAATAAAGGGAAGGGACAGAGGAGGAGGAAGAAGGAGAAGAATAAGAAGGAGAAGCAGCAGCAACAGAAGAAAAATACATGAGGAAGAAGGAGGCAAAGAATAAGGGGAAGGGGAAGAGGAGAAGGAAGGAAGAGGAGGAGGAGGAGAAGGAGGAGGAGAAGGAGGAGGAGGAGGAGGAAGAGGAGGAAGGGGAAGAAGAAGAAGAGGAAGGGGAAGAAGGGGAAGGGGAAGAAGAGGAAGGAGAAGGGGAAGAAGAAGGGGAAGAGGAAGGGGAAGAAGAAGGGAAAGGAGAAGAAGAAGGGGAAGGGGAAGAAGAAGAGGAGGAAGGGGAAGAAGAAGAGGAGGAGGAGGAATGGGGAAGAAGAAGGGGAAGAGGAAGAAGGGGAAGAGGAAGAAGAAGGGGAAGAAGAAGAAGGGAAGAAAAGGAGGAGGTGGAGGAGAGGAGGGAAAGATGAAGAGGAGTTTGCTCCATCCCACCAGAACAAGCAACTCAATTCAACCTCAATTATGTGTTCCTCAATTAAGCGCCCCCCCCCCCCAACTCCACCAAAAGTCATTTGAATAAATTTGTGTCATTTTCAAGCATCGTTTGTCCCTATGCCACGCAAATAAATTCCAAATCTGTGAATGCTGGGGAAGAATAACCAAAACTGGAGACTCACCGGCGAGAGGGTAGGGATGGTGGACGTGGCGGCCGCCCAGCTGATGCTGGTGAATATGTGCGGAGACACCGGGATCTGGATGGAGGGCAAAGCCTGAGAAAGAGACAACAGCTCCGTCAGTTTCTCACCTTGCCAGTTTCTGAGACACAAGCCATTTTGATGCTGAGTTCTGTCTAAAAAATCCATTCACTAACATCTGATAGACTGTGAAACCATGATGGTGATGATGGTGATGGTAGGCCCTCTCATTTTCACGAAAGCTGAGGCACGGGACTTGCCAAAACAAAACATGGATGGAACACCTGATAGTTTATTTACGCCTACGAATGACTAGCAAAGCGTTCTCTCTAGAGGTTTCTATCATCAGACGATCCATTTTAGTGGTAATCAACGAACTGTGGAAATTACACTACATAACACAATTTGAATAATTTTCTGTTCCTGGTTTGAAAGTGTCATTTCCTGTTTAACTGTGTGGTACTTACTTTGAATGTAGTTGATCTACTCCAGAAACTTTGTTGTTTTTGTGTTTTTATGTTATGCATTTGGCCTGCCCTCTGTGTTTGATTTTTCATTGTGTTATTTCGCACTGTTTATTTTACTTGAATGTTTTATTTATTCCATTGCGATGTTATTTCTTGTTCATCTGTATTTTATTTTGCTGTAATGTATCGTCAGGCTTGACCTCATGCAAGCCTCTCCGAGTCCCCTTTGGGGAGATAGTGGTGGAGTATAAATAAAGATTATTATTATTATTACTACTACTACTACCTACCACCACCACAAACTAGACTGAATGGTTGAGACTCAATGAGAGATTCATTGAAAAACTAGAGAAAAATGTTTTGCAGGATGTCCCACAAAAACTTTTTTTTGCAGTTTAATCAACTTTTCCTTTGTTTTTATGATAGAACCAATTAGGAAATGACATAGATAACCCAGGAACGAAAAAAATCATTACATCTATATATATAAAAATGCTCTGTGCATAATGAGTACCTTAAAAACAAAAGAACCAATGAACTAAGTCACACCAAATTTGGCCACAAAACGTCTCACAACACAAGGAGTGACCATCACTCAAAAAATTATGATTTTGTCATTTGGGAGTTGTAGTTGCTGGGATTTATAGTTCACCTATAATTAAAGAGCATTCTGAACTCCACCAACAATGGAATTGAACCAAACTTGGCACACAGAACTCCCATGACCAACAGAAACACTGGAAGGGTTTGGTGGGCATTGACCTTGAGTTTGGGAGTTGTAGTTCACCTACATCCAGAGAGCACTGTGGACTCAAACAATGATGGATCTGGACCAAACTTGGCACAAAAATTCCATATGCCCAAATATGAACACAGATGGAGTTTGGGGGAAAATAGACCTTGACATTTGGGAGTTGTAGTTACTGGGATTTATAGTTCACCTACAATCAAGGAGCATTCTGAACCCCACCAACGACAGAATTGGGGCAAATTTCCCACACAGAACCCTCATGACCAAATACTGTGCTTTTGGGTGGGTTTTGGTGACCCTTCTGACACCCCCATGCTGACCACCCCCCCCCCCGGGTCTTGACTTCCCAGGTTGAGAAATGCTGCCTTGAGGCTGTCCAGTCCAACTCCCTTCACCAGGGCAAGAAAACATAATCAAAGCCCTCTTGACAAAGGGCCATCCAACCATTCACACACACACACATATGTATATGACAGATGCAGTATCAAAGATTTGAAAGGGACCCCTAGAGAAGGACAATGATACATTGCATATTCCAGAGTAGGCAAACCAGACAACATTGACAAAGAAATAACAAGAAATACTGTTTACCCACAAGCAGAAAGAAATTACATATATTAGAAACCAACACTTTCTCATTACTTTACTTTCCAGTTCACCAGACTGGGCCACAGCAATGTGTGGCAGGGGGCCGCTAGTAATGTTATAAAAGTTGTATAGAAAGGAATTCACTAAAAACAATTCCTAGATATTTGACTAGATGTTTTTGTTCTAAGGCATGTTGGTGTAAAGACCATTTATACCTGGGGTAGTGTCTGCCAAAAACCATAACTTTGGTCTTGGAGGAATTTATTGACAGCTATTCCTCTTGGCAGTAAGTGCTCATAGCCTTCAGAAGATTTTTAAGACCCAACAGAGAGAGGGAGATAAGCACGAGATCATCTGCATACATCAGGATTTGGTTAACATGTCCTCTGTAAGAATTGGGACTGTGGCGCAGCTGGCTGGGAGTTCATTAAGATGACTACTGACCAAAAGATCATGAGTTCGAAGCCAGCCCAGGTCGGAATGAGTGGAGTGAGCTTCCGACCATTGTGTGTAGTTTGCTGTCAGCCTTTGCAGCCCGAAAGACAGTTGCATCTGTCAAGTAGGAAAGTTAGGTACCGCTTATGCAGGGAGGCTAATTTAACTAATTTATGATGCCATAAAATCTCCAGCAAGCAAGCAAAGAATGAAGAAGTACTCCATCAGTGTCTCAAATGAGCGGTAAAGCAACAGCTCCCCTGGTGGCCAGAATACCCTCAGGAAAAAAAAACTGGATTGTTAAATAGCCTCTCTGAGTGTCTGTCTATATATGTGTCTATGGCATTGAATGTTTGCCATGTGTATGTACATTGTAATCCGCCCTGAGTCAACTGCGGGGTGAGAAGGGCAGAATATAAATACGGTAAATAATTAAATAAATAAATGTTGCTGCCACGCTTTGTAAACAGCAAAAAGCTAAACCTGCAAATCTTGAGGACTGACTCCATAATCATAATCAGGATTGGATTTTGACTTTCCAGATAGGCCCGTCCTACCTGGTATGCGTGGTCAGCCTGGATGTGCCAGAAAGAACTGGGGGCCGACTGGCTGAGGGCGCTGCTGGACAGATGAGGCTCCAAAGAGGCAGTCTGATCCAGAACAATAGCTTCTGGCTGGGAAGGAGCTGGCTGGATGATGATAGGAGAGGATCCGGCAAAGGAGGAGGGGGCAGCGGAAGGGCTGGGGATGGTGGCGGGGGGCTCCGGGGGCACCTCCTCCTTGACCTGCATCTCGGTGTAGTAGAAATCTTCCTCCCGCTTCCTCTGGTCAGAGTTGGCACCATCCCTGAAATAGGAATCAACAACAGAAAGAAATCGATAAGATGGAAGGGGTCCAGACAAAGGCAGCCAAAATCGTCAAAGGTCTGGAAACCTTATTTGAATTCATTTCGTATCTGTGACTATTTCTCCTTTAATGTATTGTCGAAGGCTTTCAGGGCCGGAATCACTGGGTTGTTGTAAGTTTTTTCAGGCTATATGGCCATGTTCTAGAAGCATTCTCTCCTGACATTTCGCCTGCATCTATGGCAATCATCCTCAGAGGTAGTGAAGATGCTATTTCTCCTTTGTCTCTTATCCTTCCTATGAATTGCCACACCAGCAATTTCCCTGCTTTATTCGTGTTTTCAAAAAAAAATGGCAGTTGTAAATAATTTTGTTTTGTTAGATACTAATTCCATATCACGTGGATCAGAAGTCATGGGCGATGGTTCACGGGTGGGAATGGGGAGGTGGTGCAAACCCTTCAGTATTTGTCGAGACCAGCTTTAATTTTCATCACTTTAAATCTTTTTAAATATGTCTTCATATTTAAATATGCCTTTGATTGCTGAATTTTGAAGATTGTATTTTTTTCATATATCACAAGAAAAATTATTTTTTTAAAAAAGCCCTCTTACTACTACTTTCCCTGTATCCCAAACAACTCTATCCGAAATGATGTTTTCTACGTTAGCTTTCAAATAGTTTTGTATACCATCTCTTATCTTGTCCTTGATTTTGAGATCTCTCAGCATACAGTCACTTATCCTCCAGAATTCTCTCTCCCACTGTCCCCATTTTATCTTTACCATAATAACCGGGTTGTGATCTGAGAACACCTTTGGCATCAATTCCACTTTAGCTATTTTCATTACCAACTTCTTTGTGGCAAAAATATAATCAATCCTTGATGAGGTACCATACCAATGTGAATGACGATCACCAAATTACCATCTGTCAGCTGCAAAAGGCCACCTTACTGGGATCTGCATGCATTATTTGCCAATACATCACATAGTCCTACACACTTCGGAAGTGTCCAACATGTGATCCAATACAACAACCAGCATAGTGATCTTGTTTGCTGTGTACTAATCTTGTAGTTTCAAATAATAATAATTTATTATTGTCGAAGGCTTTCATGGCCAGAATCACTGAGTTGTTGTAGGTTTTTTTGGGCTATATGGCCATGGTCTAGAGGCATTCTCTCCTGACATTTCGCCTGCATCTATGGCAAGCATCCTCAGAGGTAGTGAGGTCTGTTGGAACTAGGAAAAAGGGTTTATATATCTGTGGAATGACCAGGGTGGGACAAAGGACTCTTGTCTGCTGAAGCTAGGTGTGAATAATTTATTATATTTATTCTATGATTCTATTAAAAAGTAAGCCAACTAGGTAGCAGCTCCACGGCTCTTTTGACTATAACAGGATTTACTGCTTTCCCCCCAACTCTATTTTTTATCCACCAGTATCAACACTTTTTTCTACTTGTTATTGTAAGCCTTCAACTCATTTCCAACTGACAATGCAAGCCTAACACAAGGATTTTCTAGGGCTGAGTGTGTGACCTGGTTAAAGTCGCCTGAAGGGCTTTCATGTCCAAAACCCTGATCTCCAAAGCTGGAGTCCAATGCTCAAACCACTACCAGCTTCTCTTTTTTTATTATTACATAGCAACAATTCTTGTACGCTGGAACAGACCCCTAATGCCATCTAGCCCAATACCATTCTGCCATGCAAAACCCTATCATCAAAAGCCATCAATTTGTCATTGAAAGCCTCTAGAGAAAGAGACTCCACCAGACTCCAAGTCAACATATTGCACTCTTATCATTAGTTCTTCCCAATATTCATTTGGAATCTCTCTCTCTCTTATTTTCCCAATTTGAATCCATAACGACTCTGGAGTGGCCGAAAACAAGCCTGCTCCATCTTCAATAGCACATTCTTTCAAGTATTTAACCACGGCTATCGTGTTCCTTTTCTCAACCTTCTTGTCTCCAAGGTAAACCTATCAAGATCCTCAAAGTCCTCTTCATAGGGATTAATGGTTTCCAAGCCAGAGTATGTCTTATTTTAGCTAAGAGAATGCCCTGCAAGGTATCTCCAAATCCTCTATGGTCAACTTGTTAGTTTAGGTCTCTTTTTAAGACAGATACAATGAGATAGAAATAATAACTTCTGATGAAAGTTGGTCACAACAACACCAACTTCACCATAAACATCATCCATATCTGCGAGTCCAGTGGCACCAACCAATGGTTCCAGCTGTCTTCTCCACTGACATAATGCAATCTCTTTGAACGCATCTACACTGTAGAGATAACACAGTTTGACACCACTTTAACCCCAGTAGCGCAGTGGGTTAAACCCGTGTGCTGGCAGGACTGAAGACCGACAGGTCGCAGGTTCAAATCTGGGGAGAGGCGGATGAGCTCCCTCTATCAGCTCCAGCTCCTCATGCGGGGACATGAGAGAAGCCTCCCACAAGGATGATAAAAACATCAGATCATCTGGGCGTCCCCTGGGCAACGTCCTTGCAGACGGCCAATTCTCTCACACCAGAAGCGACTTGCAGTTTCTCAAATCGCTCCTGACACGACAAACCCCCCCCCCAAAAAAAACCACTTTAACTGCCATGACTCAATGCTAGGTATAATAGGGATTGTAGTTGGTGAGGCTCCAGGATTCTTCGACAGAGAAGGCTAGAGACTTTGCAAAACTACCAGTTCCCAAGATTCTATTGTACTGAACCATTGCAGTTAAAATGATGTCAAACTGCATTAAAACTACTGTGTAGATGCATGAGAATCCATTCCAGACGTAATTGGAGGGCTTACCCCAGATGTTGCGTCTTCACGTGCCTTTTGATCCCGACAATGGAGCGGAGCACTTTGCCACAATTGGGCCACAAACACTTGTACATCACCTTCACCGAGTTCTAAGAGAGACACAGATACAAAATGGTCAATAGTCAACGATGAATTTCCCAGGATCGTTCCTTTTTATTGTACTAACAGTAATACAATAAATAAGTAAAATAATATAGTAATATGTAAGTATATAATAAAGTAAGCAAACTACTATTATTGTTGCATTTATAGGAATGCATTAGAATATGTATATTTTATAGAAATACATTTGAATATGTGTATTTGTGGTATTTTTACAATGTTTATGTGTTTTAATTAGTCTGTAACCCACCTCGAGCCATAAAGAGAGGCAGGTAAGAAACATTATTATTATTATTATTATTATTATTATTATTATTATTATTACAGTAGTATAAATAAGTAAATTAATAATGATATGTAATAATAATAAAGTGAAATAATATGTATAATAATAATAATAATCTATATAAATAAAGATGCAATGTTCATTTGTGGAATTAACAGAACTCAAAAACCGCTGGGGGAACTGACACCAAATTTGGACACAAGACACCTATCAACCCAATGTATGTCCTTCACTCATAAAAACACTGAAAAACACAGCAGAAGGGACTTAAAAAGCCCCAAAAAGCTAAATGATGAAAAGCTAAATGACAACACAGAAAAAAGGGAAGAAAGAGGAAAGGAAGGGGAGAAGAGAAAGAGGGAGGGAAAAAATAAAGAAGGAAAGAGAGAAGGAAGGAAGGAGAGAAGGAAGGAGGGAAAGAAAAAGGGGGAAGGAAGGAAAGTTAGAGAAGGAAGAAGGAAAGAAAAAAGGGAAAGAAGGAAGGAAAGAGGGATCAAAGGAAGGGGGAAGATGTAGAGAAAGAGGGAGGGAAGGAAAGAGACAGCAAAAGAGAAAGAAAAAGAGGAAAGGAAGGAAAGAGATAGAGAAAGAAGGAAGAAGAGAAGGAAAGACAGGAAGGAAGGAAAGAGGGAGTGAAGGAAGGAGGGAAAGAAGGAGAGAAAGAGGGAAGGTTGGCCACAGCAACACGTGGCGTGTACAGCTAGTAATCTATATAAATAAAAATGCAATATTCATTTGTGGGACTAACATAACTCAAAAACCACTGGACGAATCGACACCAAATTTGGACACAATACACCTTTCAGGCCATCACTCATAAAAACACTGGAAAACACAGCAGAAGAGACTTAAAAAGCCAAAAAAAATTACATTACAACTCATGCACATAACTACATATATACACAAACACATATATACATATACATAAATATACACACACACACAAAACACATATACACAGATTGAGCCACCGCAACGTGTGGCAGGGGACGGCTAGTACATAATACTAATCACATGTGGATATAATAACAACCCACAACACGTATCCTGTGTTGTTATGTACAAATAAATCTATAATACTTTGTGGGCATAATAACAATAAAGCAAGTAAACTAATAGTATTAATATAATACTAATAATAACAACACTATGTAACAAATAATATATGTGAAATTTCACAGAGATCACAATGAAGAACCTGGCTCGAGGCAGGTTACAGACAAATTAAAACACATAAACATTGTAAAAATACCACAAATACACACATTCTAATGTATTTCTATAAATATACGTATTCTAATGTATTCCTATAAATGCAACAATAATAGTAGTTTGTTTACTTTATTATATACTTACATATTACTATATTATTCTTCATTGTGATCTCTATGAATTGTTTTTTCTTTTCCTGGCTTGAAAGTGACATTTCCTGTTTAATTGTGCAGGGCTTACTTTGAAAGTAGTTGTTATACTACAAAAACTTTTTGGGAGCCTAAACTATGCTGAATTGGTTGAGACTATGATATATTCACCGAAAAGCTATTGCAAAATGTGCTACGGCAGGATGTCCCTCCCGTAAAGACAAAGTTTTGGCAGCTGAATAAACTTTTTCCATGTTTTTATGACACAACCAATTAAGAAATGATGTTTATAACCCAGGAACAAAAATAGTGTTATAATAATAATAACAATAGCCTAATGTGATGTCATTTTGTCAGTGCCCAGAATGCAACCGTATTTTCTCTTGCTTTGCCATTGCATGCCCGCTTTAGCGCTATACCTACCTTTCTTTTCCGCGGAGCCGGCTCCTCAAAGAGAAAGGGGTCTGAGTCCGTCTCGAACCCATCGTCAGTCCTTGGAGAACTAAGGGCCTCGCTGGAGTATTTGGGGCTGGGCTCCGAGTGCGGGGGCGAAGGGGTCGAGATGCCGCTCCAATGGCCGCTGGTGGTGCTGCTCCCGCCGTCGGACAAGTCACCGCTCTCCTTCCAGACGTCGCAGGAGGCTTGGGAGGCTGGAGAAGAGAGGAGGCGAGTGTGAATTAGGCCATCGCTTTGCAAGAAAATTGAGACAAAGCTCATGCTCCCAGTATGCCCCATTTTATGCCCTTTAGAGCAGGCATGGGCAAATTTTGGCCTTCCAGGTGTTTTGGACTTCCACAATTCCAAAACTGGTAGGCTGTTAAGAATTGTGGGAGTTGAAGTCCAAAACACCTGGAGAACCGAAGTTTGCCCATGCCTGCTTTTGGGTGATTTTGCCATTCATGTTCAAGGTTAAGCTTTAGTAAGGATAAACATTAGGAAAGTTCATTGTTGGTTTCTGGATTTTATGAATAGTCCCATTAGGAAACTCATAAGCATGTAGGTAAACTGGTAGATATTCCCATCATCCTCTGTCATTGTCTGCAATTTTCAGTGCCTATATGAATCCCAGGATTCAATGGGATGGAAACATGGCAGCAAAAGTGCAATAGGATTACTGCATCGAGATAATATGAAAGAGACAATGGGTGCTTCTACACTGCAGAATTAATGCAGTTTCTGGGTTTTGGAATCTTTCAGCATATAGTCATTTATCCTCCAGAGTTTTCTCTCCCACTGTCCCCATTTTATCTTCAGCATAATAACCGGGTTGTGATCTGAGAACACCTTTGGAATCAATTCGACTTTAGCTATTTTCATTACCAACTTCTTTGTGGCAAAAATATAATCAATCCTTGATGAGGTACCATACCAATGTGAATGACGATCACCAAATTACCATCTGTCAGCTGCAAAAGGCCACCCTACTAGGATCTGCACACATTATTCACCAATACATCACATAGTCCTAAACACTTGGGAAGTGTCTGCCGTGTGATCCAATACAACAACCAACATAGTGATCTTGTTTGCTGTGTACTAATCTTGTTTCAAATAATAATAATAATGTATTATATTTCTTCTATTAAAAGGTAAGCCAACTAGGTAGCAGCTCCACAGCTCTTGACTATAACAGGATTTATTGCTTTCTACCCCAACTCTCCTACTGTCCCCATTTTATCTTTAGTATAATAACCGGGTTGTGATCCGATAACACCTTAGCTAGTAATTCCACTTTGCCAATTTCATTTCCAACTTCTTTGTGGCAAAAATATAATCAATCCTTGATGAGGTGCCATACCAATGTGAAAAATGAGAGTATTTTTGCCTATTTAGGTTTCCTTTTAGGTTTTGTATTACTATTATTTATTTCTACCCCAGTTTAGCCACTATTCTCCCCCATCGGGGATGCAACATGGCTAACAACAAGGTATAAAACATACAGGTACATTAGGACAAATAGGAAATAGATACAGTCAAAACTATAATAAAATGCATTACAGGTTAAAATACATTCAGCACTTTAGGTATAGTTAAAAACATAATTTTTTTCCTATCCCAAAGGAGACTCAAAGTGACTTAACATAAAAGTACAATTCAAAATACACAAATATGCCAACATTAAAATATAATTAAATATAAATACAGTGTTCCTTCACTTATTGTGGGGGTTACGTTCCAGGACCTCCCACAATAAGTGAAAAACCGCGATGTAGGGACGCTATATTTATTTTGATATTTACACATTATTTTAGTAGTTATACACTATTTTAAGTCTTTACAAACTTAAAATAAAGTTAAGGAAAGGAAGGAAAGGCCCTTTAAGGCTGGAGGGAGGGAAGAAGAACTGAGGAAGGAAAGTGCCTCGGCGAGCGGTGGTGGCAAAAACCCACGAAATAGCGAAAATATATATTTTTAATTTTTTTTAAAAAAACCCTCAAAACAGCAAGTCCGCTAAAAGCGAACCGTGAAGTAGCAAGGGAACACTGTAGTACTTAAAAACTAGCAGAGATAAGCTTATTATATATAAAAATAAAAATGTAATGTTAGTTTGTGCTACCATCAGAACTCAAAAACCACTGGGGGAATCGACACCAAATTTGGACACAAGACACCTAACAGTCCAATTTATGTCCTCCACTCAAAAAAATTGATTTTGTCATTTGGGAATTGTCATTGCTGGGATTTATAGTTTACCTACAATCAAAGAGCATTCTGAACTCCACCAATGATGGAATTGGGCCAAACTTAGCACACAGGGCTCCCATGACCAACAGAAAAAACTGGAAGGGTTTGGTGGGTATTGACCTTTAGTTTGGGAGTTATAGTTCACCTACATCCAGCGAGCACTGTGGACTCAAACAATGATGGATCTGGACTAAACTTGACACAAAAATTCCATATACTTAAATATGAACACAGATGGAGTTTGGAGGAAATAGACCTTGACATTTGGGATATGTAGTTATTGGGATTTATAATTCACTACAATTAAAGAGCCTTCTGAAACCCACAAACGACAAAAATGGGCAAACTTCCCACACAGAACCCCCATGACCAACAGAAAATACTTAAGGCCATCCAATCCAACTCCCTTCATCAGGGCAAGAAAATGTCATCAAACCCCTCCTGACAAAGAGCCATCCAGCCATTGATATAGATAGATAGATAGATAGATAGATGGATGGATGGATGGATGGATGGATAGATATGATTCACAAACAGAGAGATATAGTATCATAGATTTGAAAGGGACCCTTAAAGAAGGACAATGATATGTTGCATGTTCCAGGGTGGGCAAACCAGACACTCTCCACATCAACACTGACAAAGACACAGCAAGAAATACTGTTTACTCACAAGCATAATTATATATATTAGAAACCAACACTTTCTCATTACTTTATTTCCCAGATCAACAGACTGGGCCACAGCAACGTGTGGCAGGGGACAGCTAGTACTACATAAAATCACTAATCATGAGCAGCATAGAGAATAACATGTAAGTGACAAACTGAAATAACATTTCCAAGTTCTGTCCTTCCTACGTATTCCGAGCCTCCAAAAGCAGACTGTGCAACAAGGAGAAGCTGTTCTCTTTTTAAACATTCATATTGCAATCCAGTGTGTGCCGGAATCTAGGTTACTTGGTAGGAAGGCAGAGTTCCTTTCATGCAGGATGCATGAATATGTTGAGCAAGGAGGAAAAGACATGCAGCGAAGAAAGAGTAAACTGGAAGACAGTTTTCCTTAAAATGAAAACAAGGGTGCATCTTCACCAGGCATGGGCAAACTTTGGCCCTCCGGGTGTTTTTGGACTCCAATTCCTAACAGCTGGAGATTGAAGGAGAAGCCTTTGCCTTTATTTGTATATCTGTGTGTCAATGTTTCGAGGCATTGAATGTTTTCCTGTGTCTTGGTGGGGGCGAGAGACAGGGCCTTCTCTGTGGTGGCCCCTTGGCTATGGAATTCCCTCCCAAACAAAATCAGATCTGCTCCACCTCTCCTGTCTTTCCGGAAAAAAGTGAAACCCTGGTTGTGGTATCAGGTCTTTGTGAACTAGAGTGACTTGCTGGCAAAGCTACGGTTTTAATGGACTATGACGGACTGCTTTTAGGATGACAACTGAATCCGGCGATGTGTTTCAATATTTTTATATTGTTTTTATAATGTTTTCATTGTATTATAGATATTTATGCTTTTCTTATGTGGGCACTGTGCTGTGCTGGTTATTTATTTATTTATTTACTTACTTATGATATTTATATTCTGCCTTTCTCACCCCGCTGGGGACTCAGGGCGGATTACAATGTGCATATACATGGCAAACATTCAATACCATAGACACACAACATATATACACAGACATTCAGAGGCTATTTAACATTCCAGCTTTTTCATGAGGGTATTCTGGCCACCAGGGGAGCTGTTGCTTCACCATCCATTTGTGACACTGATAAAGTACTTCCTCATTTTTTGAATGCTTGCTGGAGATTTTTATGGCGTCATAAACGGTACCTAAATTTCCTACTTGACAGATGCAACCGTCGTTTGGGCTGCAAAGGTCGACAGCAAGCTACACAAATTGGTCGAAAGCTCACTCTGATCCGGGCTGGCTTCGAACTCATGACCTTTCCGTCAGTAGTGATCTTAATGCAGCTGACTCCCAGACAGCTGCGCCACAGTCCTGAGTCCCTCTGCAGAGGTGAGATAGGACGGGATATAAATACCCCAAATAAATAAACTCCCAGAAATCTCAGCCAGTTTACCAGCTGTTGGGATTTCTGGGAGTTGAAGGTCAAAACATCTGGAGAACCACAGGTTGAGAACTACTGGTCTAGATGGTCTTTGGGACTCCCTCACACTGTAGTGAAATATGCTATCTGGGAATCGGTGGAGTCTCCTTCTCTGGAGGTCTTCAAGCAGTAGCAAGATGGGCATCTGTTCGGAATGCTTTGATTGTGTCTTATGGAAGGAGGTTGGACTAGATAGCCTTTGGACGAATTGACACGAAATTTGGACACAAGACACCTAACAGCCCAATGTATGTCCTTCACTCAAAAAAAATGATTTTGTCATTTGGGAGTTGTAGTTGCTGGGATTTATAGTTCACCTACAATCAAAGAGCATTCTGAACCCCACCAATGATGGAATTGAACCAAACTTGGCACACAGTTCTCCCATGACCAGCAGAAAATACTGGAAGGGTTTGGTGGGCAGTGTCCTTTGGTTTTGGAGTTGTAGTTCACCTACATCCACAGATCACTGTGGACTCAAACAATAATGGATCTGGACCAAACTCTACACAAATACTCAATATGCTCAAATGTGAACGCTGGTGGAGTTTGGGGAAAACAGAATCTTGACATTTGGGAATTGTAGTTGCTGGGATTTATAGTTCACCTACAATCAAAGAGCATTCTGAACCCCACCAATGATAGAATTGAGCCAAACTTCCCACACAGAACCTCCATGATCAACAGAAAATACTGTATTTTCTGATGGTCTTCGGCAAGCCCTCAAATACTCCCCCACGACCCCAACAGGGGTCGCGACCCCCAGGTTGAGAAACACTGATCTTGAGAACCACAGGTTGAGAACTACTGGTCTAGATGGTCTTTGGGACTCCATTCCACTCTAGTGGAATATGCTA